GGTGACAAAATGCATTAAAATGCTTTTTATTGAATTTGATAATATATGAATAATAGAAATCATGAACTATTTCTGGAAAATATTCAATTGAGGATATGCTACAATGTTTATTTTTGTTTATTCTAGCTGGCAAGTTATTATATCATCCATAAATGTCTGACTTCACTCAAAAAAGTCTAAACATTTGTAAAACCTATGGTTGGTTTCATGGGGCATAATATACCATATTTTCCATTTAACAATGCTGCTGGTAAAACCAGCTGCCCTGTCCTGCTGTTAGTGACTACAGTACATACAGCAAAAAACAATCTGCCTGCTGACCTCCTGCTTAAGTTCAAACTATGTCATTCTGTCAATACCATCTACCTTGATTAGGTTGGGCTTTATACACAACAGGTTATGATCCCAGAGGGATGAAAAGCTTTCCCAAATTAAAAGCAGAATTTTAAAAGGAAATACTCATACATTCCTATGCAGTTTCCATTTGATATCCTCAAGGCTGGCCCATGAACTCAAGCTCATGTTGATTGAAAGTGAATGTTTCTTTCTGGGTGTAGCCATCTTACAAATTTAATGGCAGGAGGAAAATAATAAAATGTGTTCCATGCTTCAATTAGACCTTTTATAACTTGGCACTTCAAAGATGGCAATGCCAAAGAAAAATCATTAATCCATAAAAATAGACAAAAAGGATTATATGGGAGAAGACAGACCTCCAGGAGTCTAGGGCCTTGGCAAAGTATATCCTCTTACCAATATGGTCTGTCTTTATTTTACCTCATTGTGAGTTTTCTCTCATGCTTCATGCTACTTGGATAAAATGTATACTGTGTTTGCTTCTAAAATCCAAAGTAATACAACCATGCTTTCAATTTTATCCTTAGCCAAAGAAGCTGTATACATAACTAGGCAATAAAACGTGGCTAGACATGAAATGCCTATTCATGCACATGAATGAGAGATGAAATAACACACACACATACACACATACACACAGAGAGAGAGAGAGAGAGAGAAAGAGAGATTGAGAGAGAGAGAAAGAGAGATTGAGAGAGAAAGAACGAGAGAAGGGAGAATTGCAAAATACAGAGCCAAAAGATGGATCCTTCCAATTTTTATTTTGCAGTAGTATGCAACAGACTTACTCAAAAGGATCAGAGCCTTTCATAACTCCAGTCCAGATAACTATGGACACACAAATATTGCCTGAGTACTTTGAATCACAAGAGAAAGTTGAGGAGTGATGTCTGGAACATGTGAGAGTCTGTTAGGACCTCTGAACTCATTCTCAAGTGATGTTAAAAGACTCTTTCAATATTAGAATGTATAAATTAGCTAAGAGTCAAGGGAGCAAGAGATTTCACCTCTCTTGGTCTCCTGCCATACCTGAAATGTCAGCAGCAAACCTCAAACAATCCCACTGTGTTTCTTCCTTGCTCCCAGTCCTGCAGTTTCAGCGCTGCAGAAGACCGTTAGCAAATCACGATTGGTACCATCCCTAGTTCATGCTGTGAGGCCCCAAACTACCTCCTAAATCCTGTGATCTCAAATTGACCCCTATCACATCCAAACTGCCCATCCACTTCTAGCCTCCCTTTCAACATCAAATTTTGGGAAGTGTCATGTACTTAACTTCTTAAGTACATTAGCATCCTCAACAGCTAATCACTCCTTAACTCCTGAATTCTGATTCCTGTCCTCATCACTCCGATGAAATTACACTCTAAACTTTACCAGTCTTCTTCCAACCAACTGCCAAATCTGATGACATGGTTTTAAGCCTCTCTCTCTTAACTTCTTAGCTTTCCACAAGTAGGCAAGTCTTCTTCTGGAAACTCCCCACGCATGTCCTCTATACTCTCACTACTGTGTATGTCCCTATTCTTCCACCTCTACCTGTCCCCATCTCCTGGCATTTCTTCTGTCTCTCTTTCCTAGGGCTGGTGCTGCTGGGCAATAGTGGTGGATTCTCCCCTTCCATATGCTGACTCTACCATTTCCTGTCCCAGGCCCTGTGACACAATTTCTAACCTCTTTCTCTAGCACTGATAACAATCTCTAGTGCCAAACTCCTATTTTCAATGACTGTTGCACATTTTCACTTAAGAAGTCGGCCAGCACTTCAACATCAAAATAACCCTACCTAAAATGGTGGCTTTAAACTTATTCCAACCACTCTTTCCATGTCTTCCTCGATTCTCTTCATAATTATACCTTTATTCTCAGTCATTGGGATTGAAGCTCGGTGTCAGCTCTACTCCTCTCTTTATCCATTCATATACTTTCTGTCAATTTTATTTCCAAAATGTTTCTTCTCTGTACCCTGCCCACCAGTCTAGTTCAAAACCTCCTTACATTTCAGCTGGATACTTGCAGCAGCTTCCTAAATCAAATTCCTACCCTCTTGCTATCAACCCTCTGTAAGATCTAATTCAGATGGTTGAGCACAGCACATTCCTACATAAGACCTTAGATGGTTTCCACTGCCTGTTAAAGTTCAGAGCTCTTGTCACGGCACTCAAGACCTTTTTCAATCTGTGCCCTCCCTTTTACATTTTATTACCTACCTTTCTTATCAACTACCAACTATACTTACAGTTTTTATACTTGCAAATTGATGACAACTCTTTGCAAGAAAATATAACAAATATCTTTACACCAAAATTAGAAGTTTTTCCCATGAAAAGGTAGAATATATATAATGAGAGATAAACCACAACTTGCCACATGAGGCCAGTAGGAAATCCCAACCATTAACAAAAACTCATTTTTCAATGTCTCATTAATCATAGGACAATTTGAAAACTAATAAAAATTGAAGTTGCCTACATAACAGAAATACATTTCAATTCAACCAGAGACCCAACACACTTTTAAATAAAGAGAGGAAAAAAGTATTGACTGACTTAAAAACACTGTCTATTTAACTCATGTAGCATTGCTTAAAGAGTATCCACAAAATTCGTACCTCAATGCTTTCTTGCAAAAGAAGTGGAAACCAAAAGTACGCAGACTCTCTTTAACAATGAACCACTGATAAACAAAAAATATTTATAACCGGTATAAGATTTCATTTAGGTGCATTCTTTGAGCGTTAACTTGCATTAGGAAATCCAGCTTACCAATGTTTATCAGATTTCTTTCCGGTGAGAGTTTTCACTTAACTTTTTTTTTTTGAGATGGAGTCTTGCTCTGTAGCCTACCCTGGAATGTAGTGGCACAATCTAGGCTCACTGCAACCTCCACCTCCTGGGGTCAAGTGATTCTCCCCTGCTTCACCCTGCTGAGTAGCTAAGACTACAGGTATGCACAACCTTGCCCAGCTAATTGTTTTGTTTTGTTTCAGTAGAGATGGGGTTTTACCATGTTGGCCACGCTGGTCTTGAACTCCTGACCTCAAGTGATATGCCTATCTCAGCCTCCCAAAGTGCTGGGACTACAGACATGAGCCACCATGCCCAGCCTCTTAACTTTTGAAATAATCATTAAATTTGGAAACATTCCTGCATCTTCCAAACTATTGGAGTTTCAATCCAGCATGCTTTCTTATATTTGTAAGGTCCATCTATAGTGTGTGTTATCATGTATCTGTGAACAGATATCAGATAATGAAGGCATTCCTACATTCTGTACATTCACAGGGTTTTTCTGAGAAATGAGTTGTTTTATGTCTTCAAATTATTCCTGCATTTTTTAACTCAACATTTTTCCTATGAATTTCTTTAGCTTAAAATAATACCCTTCTTCTTCTTCATCTTTGGCTCCTGTACTTTATTTATCCTTCAAGGTCTAATCCCTTGACAACCTAATACTCTAGTGTGTTGTTTACATAAGTGCTTGCCCATTATCTTTTTCGTCTTTGCATCTGCACAGAGCTTAGCTTCCTGCCTTGCATTTACCAGGGTGCTGAAACTTTAACCTACTGTTTTCTTGAAGGCTTACCATATTCATTCTCCTGGAAGTATTCCTCACCTCCAGCTCGCCGTGAACCTCCACCGCAATCATTGCTTATACTCTCCCACATTACTCATCACACTTCACATTTTACTCTAGTTATCTGGTTACACGGTTTTCACCACCAGATCACCAGCTCCCTGAGGTTATGCACATTTGCTTTGTTCTTACTCATATAAGGGCTAGGTAAGTGTTTCTCAACATGTGGCCCCAGACCAGTGCCATCAGCATCACCTGGGGTTTTGTTAGGAATATTAATTTCTGAATCCAACCTCAGACTTACTCAATAAGAAACTATGGGACAAGGCCCAGCACTCCGTGTTTTCATAGCTCTCCAGGTGATTCTGATGCATACTCCAGTTTAAGAACTACTGGAGGAAAACAATGTCTTACATATAAGCACCCTCAATAAAAAAAGACATACATGAATTAACTGTTTACGTTTTCAATACTTAATGTTATATTAGCATATAATTCTCTCAAACATTAAAAATAAAAGTAAGCTATCCATTATCATTTTATCAATATCTCAAATCTAACTTGTATGTTTTGAAGGATTTTTATAGATTTTTAAATAAAACTTTACTTATATAATTATAAAATATAATTTTATTTATATTATAAAGTTCAAAACCAAGGGAAAAAAATAGATTGTCTGAGTATGCATAGTTTTATAACTTGTTTTAAAAGGAAACCAGCAAGAGAGTGATAATCACAAAATTCAAGATCAGAGTTACATCTGGGAACAATAAATGGAGAGGATGAGAGAGTACATACCCAAGCCATTAGTAACATTTGGGGTCCTGAGCTGCATGTTGGATTCGAAGATGTCTATTACATTATTAAAATTAATCAGTTAGTTAATTAATTAATCAGGTCATGCATGGATCAATGGTGATAGCGTTTCATGAACTAAGGATTATTAATTAATCTAATTATATGTGCTGAGATCCATAAAACTTTTTAAAGAGATAAAAATAATTATGACCTATCTCAATTCTGTCCCTGGTATTATTGTTAATTACAGCGTTCAATGCTAATTGTACCTGTGTGCGGTTGAATGCCACTCTTGCAAAGACAGCTTGGGACACACTGGCCCTCTTCAGCTCATCTCTGACTTGCTGGTAGATATCTGGAGAGACTTCCACGGAAGAGTTAGTTGGCTCTGGTTTAACTGCTCTGGGGATGGGTGGATGGTTCAGGAACTGCTGGTTGATGGCTTGAGGATGCTGGTGAGCCAGAAGCCGGCTAACGGCAATCTGTTGGTTTATCAGATGGGCCATGGCTATTTGTTGCCTTACAAGTTGTGGACTGAGCTGGGGAGAAAGAAGACCAGGGCTCATGATGGGCTGTAATGCGGGCACTTGGTTTCTGATTGGAGTACTGTGATGGATTTGGCTGTGAGGAGACTGTTCGTTGGTTTTCCCCAGGGATGCCAGCTGGTTCATATTTGGTAAATGCATTGGACGCTGGCCCAGAACACAATAGTCTGAAAGGTTTTCTCGTTCCACTCTTTCCACTGTTAAGAGATAACAATGATAATTCATCATTATTTTCATTGGTACAATGTATTGCTAATATGTGTAGAACTGAATTATCATACTTTTGGTATGTTAATAACATAAACATTTTTTCATACAATGATGGAAGTTCCAGGATAAAAGTGATATCTTTTTCCTGCAAAGTGTTACAATAGATTTTTTTCATGGAACACATGACAGTAAAAGTATTTGTGACTTCAATTTGTTAAAATTCTTAAAAATAAGTATTTCATTAAATAGCCAAGACAGAAACCAATGACTGTTCTAAATCCTCCTGGATCCCCAAGCTCTATCATCCCCGCCAATCACCCTTTGATATAGAAGCACTAGCTGTTCTTAGCTTCTGTAGCATGCAATTAATAGTTATCAGGAAATGACAAGGACAACATCTCCTGCCAAATTAAGTGCTACCTTCTAGTAAAAATCTCACATAAATATTGTTATACAACTATGGAAATGTTCTTTAAAAAATGTCTACCACATCGTATATCCATTTATTGATTCATTTGCTTTTTGATAGAAATGTTTCTATAAGAAACTGATATTTTAAACATTGTGATATGCACTCAGATAAGAAAAAAAATCACAAAATTAATAATATCACCTCAACTTGCCATTAAATGAAGTTCTCCCCCTCTCCAGGTTATCTGCTTTATTACATTACATTGCACTTTAATAAAGATTTCAAGAATAAACTTGAAAGGTAGAAGAAAGTATCATACATGTAAAAGCATAAGGCAAGTATTTTTCTTTCCCTAAGATAATGTCTCAGGAAAGACAGAGTCACCTCATAGCCAAATCCTTAACCAAGTCTCTATATTACTCTATCATGAAAAACAAAGCTTGGTTTAGAGAAAAGAAATAGGGTTGAAAGAATCCCATCATTATTAGTTTTAAATGCTTATAGGTATAATATAATTTAACAAGATATCCTTTTGAAAGCAAAAATTCCACATACATTTTGCAATTATTTCTTATAATTGCAAATGCTGGATATGATTATGCAAAAGTACATTAAAGATAACTTTAAGAAGCTAGAGATCAAACATATTCACCTATAGAACAGATTAAAAAAAACTGTCCCCCTATTATGCAAAGAGCACATGTGGTTTGGCATATAGTTAACAGTGACAGAATCACGTTTTTACCAAAAAACACTGAGTCTCAAAAAATTTAGGCAGAAATGATGTGTGCTGGACAACTGCGTGAGATGACTCAAAACAGGGGAGTTGGTGATGACAGACACTGGTGCCAAGCCACATGTGAAGCATCTGAATAAAATCAATGAACTGTAAGGGTGAAAAAAAGTAATATTTCTAAATTAATATTTTATGTAATATGTGATTTTAAAAATGTATGTGTGGAAGTAAATGAATACATTAAAATGTGGGTAGACATTTAACTATTTTATATCCATGTCTACAAGTTTTATGCATGCAAAGTATCTCATTGAGAAAACACATTAACAGCCAAGTCTTGGTATCACCTTATATTTAGACATGTACAGTGCTTTTTCCTGCTTTTTTTAAAAAAACTGAGTTCAGCCAGGGACGGTTGAACTCACACCTGTAATCCCAGCATTTTAGGACATTGAGGCAGGTGGATCACCTGAAGTCAGGAGTTTGAAGCCAGTCTGGCCAACACAGCAAAACCCCATCTCTACTAAAAGTACAAAAATTATCCAGGCATGATAGCATGCACCTGTAATCCCAGATATTTGGGAGGCTGAGTCAGGAGAATCACTTGTTGCAGGGAGTGGAGATCGCACCACTGCACTCCAGCCTGGGTGACAGAGTGAGACTCCATCTCAAAAAAAAAAAAAAAAACCTGAATTCTGCTTAACATTCCTAAAATCTCCCAAATAAGTCAAAAGTTTACTTCAACTTATGTTAGGGCTCAATTTCTAACTTAATCCTTACAATGTTTGTTTGTTTTTGAGACGGAGTTTCAGTCTTGTTGCCCAGGCTCTTGTTGCCCATTTGTAGTGCAATGGCTCCATCTCAGCTCACTGCAGTCTCCACCTCCCAGATTCAAGTGGTACTCCTGTCTCAGCCTCCCAAGTCACTGGGATTACTGACATGTGTCACCACACCCAGCTAATATTTTTGTATTTTTAGTAGAGACAGGGTTTCACCATGTTGGCCAGGTTGTCTTGAACTCCTGGCCTCAGGTGATCCGCCCGCCTTGGCTTCCCAAAGTGCTGGGAATACAGGCATGAGCCACTGCACCCAGCCTAACCCTTACAATGTAATTTATTTGTTTTACATGTCACCTTTCCTTCATAAGATTCAAGCTAATTTTTTTTACTCATCTTCTAAACGTAAACCTTTTCAATTATTGTATTAATTAAACTTTAAAGTACATAGTCTGAAAACCAAACCAAGCAAATGGAGCTATCAGATAACATAATCTAACAGTTTCCATAGAACAAGAATTACCATCATAATTTCCTCACTGAAAAGAAAAAGGTAAAGAGACCATGAACTGCTTCCAAAGTAAAATCTTATAGACAAATGTTTGGTTTCAGTTAAATACTTGATTCACTTTTGCTTGTTTATTTGCTTTTAATTCAGTCAAAGTAAAGATAAATTCAGATATTAAATTATGTTTTCAGGTACTTAGTAAGCAAATAATCTATTTCATTTTTTTTGTGGGGGGAGGGGTTTGAGACTGAGTCTCACTCTGTCACCCAAGATGGCGTACAGTGGTATGATCTCCGCTCACTGCAACCTCTGTCTCCCGGGTTCAAGTAATTCTCATACTTCAGCCTACTTAGTAACTGGGATCACAGGCGTGCGCCACCACCATACCCAACTGATTTTTGTATTTTTAACAGAGATAGGATTTCACCCAAGTTGACCAGGCTAGTCTCAAACTCCTGACCTCAGGTGATCCAACCACGTTGGCTTCCCTAAGTGCTGGGATTATAGGCGTAAGCCACTGTGCCCAGCCATCTATTTCATTTTCTACCTAAAAAACATAGAATCATCCTCCTCTAGAATGCATTCTTTGAAAAAAATGTTAATTTTCAAAAATGCAGGTATTTTCATTTTTCAACAATTTAATTACACTTGAGTGAGTTTAGTTTCTTGAGATATATCTAAATCACATAATTAAAAAACATTTCATTCCTAGATCTAGTCAAAATCATGTACACAATTAAGCAGAAACATCAGAGCTCCCTGAAACCTATACAAATTGGTGCAATAAGAGTCTGAATAATGTCAGTCCCTATTCTTTTAGGTTATATATAATCATTCTATCCTTTTGAGCATCCAGGTAGATCCTTCTAAATTCTTATAGTTAAGAAGAGTAACTATGGAAGTATCCTATAGAGAAATAGCAACATACTACATCCATAGTAACACCATGAAGTACTAACTACTTAGTAAACATTAATGAAGAAACTGCAAATGCAAATACCTACCTGTTCAAGTAGATAACAGCCAGAAAAGCCAGCTACAGAAGAGCTAGGTGAAGGAAAGTCTATCCATTTCAATGGTAGCAATCACTATCTTACCTCAGCCAGTTTCTGTCTAATTTTTGTTTGTTTGTTTTGAGATGCAGTCTCGCTCTGTCACCCAAGCGATTCTCCTGCCTCAGCCCACCAAGTAGTCGGGTCTACAGGCGCGCACCAACTTGCCCAGCTAATTTTTGTATTTTTAGTGAAGACGGAGTGTTACCATGTTGATCTCTTGACCTCCTGATCCGCCTGCCTCAGCATCTTACAGTGCTGATATTACAGGCATGAGTCACTGCATCCGGCCTGTGGCTTTCTTATATTGCCGTTTCTTTAGTTTTTTTTTTTTTTTTTTTTTTTTTTTGAGACAGAGTCTCCCTCTGTTGCCAGGCTGGAGTGAAGTGACTTGATCTCAGCTCACTGCAACCTCCACCTCCCGGGTTCAAGAGACTCTCCTGCCTCCGCCTCCTGAGTAGCTGGGACTACGGGTGCACGCCACCATGCCCAGCTAATTTTTTTGTATTTTTAGTAGAGACAGGGTTTCACCATGTTGGCCAGGATGGTCTCCATCTCTTGACCTCGTGATCTACCCTCCTCAGCCTCCCAAAGTGCTGGGATTACAGACATGAGCCACTGTGCCTGGCACAATTAGATTTTTTTTTTCAAGAAAACAAAAAGTCTGGATTTTACATGGTATCTCCTAATTTTTAAGTATTAGCAACTAATTCCACTTCAGAATACAATAAAAGCCAAACAAAACATTTCTAAAAACTAGATCTGCCCATGGCTGCCAGTTTTAAAATTCTGCCTATGAGACCAGTCACCCTTTATGTTTTTCATTCCCTAACAGCTCTACCAATAAAAGCCAAGTTCTTTACTCCCAAGAAAAAAAAAATTATCATTCCAACTTTAAGAATGCTTAAGGATCAAATGCTCATCAAAAGGTTGCATCTCCAATGACCGAGACAGAACACAATTTCAAAAACCATTTACATAGGTTTTGCCTTTTTTTTTTTTTTTTTTAGACAGAGTCTCACTACATTATCCAGGATGGAGTGCAGTAATGTGATCTCATCTCACTGCAACCTCTGCCTCCTGGGTTCAAGTGATTTTCATGCCTCAGCCTCCTGAGTAGTTGGGGTTACAAGCATGTGCCACTGTGCCCAGCTAATTTTTGTATTTTTAGTGGAGATGAAGGTTTCACCATGTTGGCCAGGCTAGTCTCAAACTTCTGACCTCAAGTGATCCACTCGCCTCAGCCTCCTGAAGTGCTGGGATTACAGGCATGAGCCACTGTGTCTGGCTAACTTTGCCTAAATTGAGAACATTTTAATTTAGTTCTTACTGCCACTCTCATAAAAATAATATCAGAATAATGTTTTAAGCCTCTTAAGTCACAGCAAGTGAAGTACAGATGCTTAAAAAAGAGGGTGCATCAGGATGTGCCAGGCTGCAGTGGGAAATTGAGCCTGAGCTTTATTTTTCTCCTTCTTTCCTCCCTCTCTCCCTTCCTACCTT